GTCTATCTTGCCCTATTAGATATTTCAATATCACATTGCATTTCACTCCTTATATTTGGCCAGTGAATCAAATTTGATGCTCATATTTGGCCATGGATTTATATTTGTGTCCCTGGTTATGTTCTCATTATTTTACAGTCTCTCAACAGTGTAACTATTAAATGCCTTCTGCGTACCTGTACCTATCTATTGATTGATCAATTAATCAATCTAACTCTCTTTATCATCTATGTAATGCTTTAGCTCTGTCCAGCCCTGGAAATAATGGCACTTCAGTAGCAGTGGTCACTCATACCTCTCAGATGTTTGCTGAAAGAAGCCAAGATTTATTGGAAAAATTAGTGTTTTCAGGGCTGGGAAAAAAGTACAAAATGAAAGAGCTTTGGAAGCAAGAGTAGAAAAGCAGGAAATAAGTTTGTGTTTCTGCATACATTTTGGAAATGAGGACCTTGACCCTATTGAATTCCTTCTAGCTTCTTTCTTCTTTATGCTTATAATTCCCCTGATGGATAGTAAGAATCCCAACTCCCTTAATGGAGAAATTTTGGTCAACTTCACCATATGAAACTAATCACCTGCCACCACCTCTCTCTTCTATCCCTAACACTGTGTTCTTCACCCCACTGGGACTCTGACATCCCACATTGGCCTAGCTTATTACTGGGATCCTCCTCACCGTGTTAGAAATGAACTTTCCTCACTTGGCCACTGTGGTTCCTTCAGTTCTAGTGTGGTGCTTACCTCGATGAACTTTACCCAAGGACTTTTGAAATGAATTATTAGGAAGGGATGGAAAGAGAAATAACCGAATGGGACATTTGATATAGTAAATAAACTCGGCAGAGTTTAAAGAACACAAATATCCACTCCCAGTAAAGAATTTGTGATGTAGTGTGAATATGTCCTTAACTGTCAGTAATGCAGGGTGATGAAATGCAAATGAGGCATGTAGCTGTACAGTGAGACAATTAAAATATTAGCAAGATGCTGAAGCTTTAGAAATGGCTTTCCTCAAAGTGTTAAGTACTCCTGTCTCTGTATATATAAAATCAATACACCAGCCATTTGTCAAACAAATGAAAGTCATGGCTTATCCGTTGAGAGCTTGGATCTTTGACATTGTATTTGCTTATGGTAATAGTTGGAATAGTGTTGAGAGCAATCTTGCTGTCATGGAAATTTAAATTTTATGTCTTGCTTTTGTGATTAATTTGTCAACTTTAATACCCCCAAGTATGTAGAGCTTTGTATTATTCCACTGAAATTCAGTATATTGAGATGTTCTCAAACTTCTGTGATGTAAATCTCCCAGAAAATGCAAGTGATAATAGATTTGTTTACAGGTTTTGTGATACCTTTTGCCTTCAACAGGGCCTACAGTGTCTCAAACTTCTCTGATTTAGATTGCATTTTTGTCTGAATTTAAAATGGCTCTGAAATTAATTTTGAAATTTACCAAAAACACTTTAGATCAATCAAAAGACAATTTTAATGTATGCCATAGAGTATGCCCCTTATTTGAATGTGGATGGCTGTGATATAGTGTACCCAGTAGCTGAATTCTCATGAGGTTGCTGTAGGAAGATGCTGACAGATACTATTTTGTTAGAGACTCCCGAAATTACTCAGGCTATTGCCCTAGCCCTTGATGGCCTCCTAGAACTTGAAGGTAAGACCCTACTGCTGAAGATAGAACATTCTCAGACACAGTATTGAGAAATAGAGCTACAGCTGACCTGGAAGTCACTTCCCCTGAAGGCGAGCAATAAGTTTTAAAACTTAATTCCTTATAGTCCACATTTCAAATGCGTCACATCAAATATGACAAGTGCCTTCTTTCCAAGATGTTTGAAAAATAGACTCTAATTGTCAGCTACTTCAGAGAGGAGGCTCGAATAACGACACAGCTTGTCATTCTGTGTGCTCATCTTTTTCCACCATGTGTTCTTAAATGATTTCTTCTTTGGTTTCAAAGCAGCACAGTGATTCTAAACACCTTGTCCTATATATTTTGAGATTTACCTCCATGCTTCCACTCTGCATTGCAATTGAGTCTATGACTTTGGACAAGTTGTACTAACTAGTCTTCCATACCCAGAGAACAAATCAAGGGAGTTGAACTAACATCTTTGATGGCATGGTTGTGTTTGGTAGCCTGGTCTAAGCTGTGGTCCTTTTAACAATGATGTTTTTAAATTCATAAAATAAAAAGAAACTAAATAAATAAGATTGTAAATTAGCCAACTACATTGACATTGTTAACAAAATATAAAAGGATAATTTGCGATAGGCTAAAAATGTGGGCTTTAAAATATATCATTAAATAAAAGGTCTAGTGGAAACTCTATATCTCCTTAATTTTAGCATACTGGTAAGTGTAAATGGCATTTGGTGTATCTGCAATGATCTTAGTGTGATTTTCAAATATCCAAGAGTTCTGATGGTGACAAAGCTACAGGTACCTCCGATGGTCCTTTACTTAAACTTGTGATTGATGGTTGATGGAAATCATAACTACGAGCTACAGAAAATTAAAAAATGTAATGTTTTCTACCATCTATGATTGCAAATGTCCTAAATTCTATTCATCAGATGATACCAAAGAGACTTTACAGCAAAAATATTCTAAGACCTGATAAACAGACCTTCTAGTTAGGTAAGGTAACATATGTCTAGCTCCAGTCTGCTCCAGTGCAATCTGTGGACCTCCTACATGGGAGCTTGTTAGAAATTCAGACCCTCGGGGCTCCCTTCAAATCTACCAAACTCACATACTGATGCTTGCAAGATCCCCAGAAGTGTACATATCACTGTCTAAGAAGTGTCACTGTATGCTAAGCAGTTCCACCTGTCTGGGTGCATTTCAGCTATGATCAAACTGAGCAACTTAAGATACCTGAGATCTAAAAAATATTATTCAATTAAAAAAAAACCTTGCCCTTATACCCAAAGTCTACCTACCAATAAGGAGAATAGTGTTCTTAGACATACAACAGAGTTTTTAGTAGAAAATTTAGGTTAGTAGTTCCTGTAAGTTCAATAATTGATTGAGTTTGAATTGTTTCAAAGCACTGAAGAGCCCCAGGGAGAAACTTCAAGATTTGGTAAAAGCAAATTGTCTCCAAAATGTGAGTGAGGAATTTTAACAAGTCTGACTGCATAACTGAACCGAAACAGTTTCAAGTTTAACTTGATTGAATGCAAGCAAGATTTGTTCTCTATAGTTTGGTTTAATCACCGCAACAATTTTAAACATCAACATTCATGGTTTTGTGAATATATGGTTTTCATTTCTATAGTGCCAGTACTATAGGCCTATAAAATATTGAGCAGATAGTGAGTTTAAAGAAATTGTTTTCAAGCCAGGTATGGTGCCACACAGCTTTAGTTCTAGCACTCAGGAGGCAGAGGCAGGCAGATCTTTGTGAGATCAAGACCATCCTGATCTATATAGCAAGTTCCAAGCCAATCGAAGCTACAGGGAAATACTATTTCAAAAAGACAAAAAAATATTTTTTTCAATACTGGAGATCAAACCTAGGACCTTACACATATTAGAAAGTGCTCTATGAATGAACTATATCCTCAGCTCTCTTTGTACGTTTTAAAAAATTTTATGTGTATGAGTTATTACTTGCATGTATGTAAGTGCACCCATGTCATGCATGCCCATGGAGGTCAGAAGAGGCTGTCAAAGCCCCTGGAACTGGAATTAAAGACAGTTGTTAACTGCCATGTGGGTGCTGGGAACTGAACCTGGGACCTCTGTAAGATCAGCCAGTGCTCTTAACAGCTGAGTCATCGCTACAGTCCCCCTCTTTGTATTTTTTATTTTGAGGCAGTCTGTCTACATTGCCCAAGATAATCTTGAACTCTCTGTAGCCCAGGCAGTATTTGAACACGCAGTCCTCCTACCCCAGCCTCCCGAGTAGCTGGGATTACAGGCCTTTGCTACCAGGCCCAGTTGTGAATTTTTTAAAAAAGACTTCTACACTACTAATTACTATTATTAATAATACTGTGTGTGCATGATGTATACACAAGTGCACACATACTACAGAATGCATATATAGGTCAGAGGACAACTGTGGAGTTGCTTCTCTCCTTCTACCTTTACATGGGTTCCAGGAATCAAACTCAGAATACCAAGTTTACACAGCAAATAAACACCTTCTCCCTCAAACCCCCAGCTCTGTGCATGCTGGGAGAAAAAGCAGCCGCTACTGTGCCTGAAAGTGAAACTGTCTCGCAGAAGTTTCAATGCAGTATACATTTCTTAAACCTGTTTTATACCAGGCAGTGAAACTTAAAGAATGAATACAACACTGTCCTTACCATAAATGAGCTATTAGTTTATTTTGGGAACCAGGCAACCATAGCAGTAAATTAAGTTCTACAATGGAAGTACACAGGATATGACAAGTGAGGTGGCAAAGAACTGTAGGTCACTCACTGACTCAATTATTCACTTTGTGGGCTCATTCATTCACTGCTTTGTTCGACAATATTTATTGGGCTGGTTACCCAAGGCCAGACACTAGTCTTTGTGGCTATGCACAGAATACTGACCTTGGAAACTGTAAAGGTCCAGGTTGAAATTATGCTGGATTTCATATGCCCTGTCTGGAATGTTGAGTCTTACCCAACAGGCCACTGAAGAGTTCTCGAATATTTTTAAGAAAGTTACTGATCAGATTTGAGGTTTGTGATAATCCTTGGGATAGCCATGTGATTGTTGACTGGAAAGGGAACTTCAAAAGAACATTGCGGACTTGGTCTGGAAAGAAAGTTCTCAAGAAGCCGTCTGCATTTTAAAATTCTCATTCTTTTCTTGCTAACGACACCTATAAATGGTGAAGTACCCCCCTTGTGTTGGAATAGTGTCGTTTGACAGGCTTCTTGTACTCACTGGGTTTTTGGGTTTGGGAGAAAATTTTCTTTAATTTATTGGTTCAGGTTCAGTACTACAACTAACATTCTTTTCTGTCTTTACTTTGCAGCTTTGGACACTTGTCCTAATTTTATGGCCAGTCATTATTTTCATAATTTTGGCTATTACTCGGACCAAATTTCCTCCAACAGCAAAACCAACATGTAAGTAAATTTTTGATTAATGTTTGTATTGTACTTAAAATTTTTTGGATACCATGTTAGTGCTACATTCTAAAATTTACTTTTAATAATGTTTCCACTTGGAAGCATTTGCATAAACAATTTGTGTGGTTTTCCTCCAAGTTTCCCAAAACAAGAAGGTGAACCTGAGCTGGCTGTGTCTGTGCATGCTTATAATCCCAGCACTCAGAAGGCTGAGACAGAAGGATCGTTAATTCGAGATCAGTCTGGGTTATATAACAAGACATTATCTTCAGGAAGAGAAAAAGACCAAAAGTCATATCTATAATATTTGTCTAGAAAAATACAGAGCATGTAGGAGGCAGAATGAGTTTAAATCTGTCATTTATTTACATCATGACTCTAACCACGGTCCACACAACACAAACCAGGAACAGTCTTGGACGCTATCAGTCCTACTTTCCTAATAGAAACCATAAACTAGTATTTGATCATCTGAACAAACAAAACTCTGGACTGTAAAATCCTCTTCTAATCTTCATGGCTGAAAGTTGAGGGGTGTAAATGTGTCAACTCTTTTTTTTAAAAAAGAAAATTGTTTCCTAATTAGTGCTGTTTCACTATATGAAGCCACTGCCAAGTTATAAAATGGGCAGACTGCCCAACTCACTTCATTATTTTCTTTTGGATCCAACACAGTAACACAGGAAGGACTCAGAAAGTCCTTAGCATCAAGAGGGAGAGCTTTAAGCCTCAATGATTAGACTGCTATTTTTGATACTTTGTTTTGTTGTTTTCCTTTTTGAACTAGTTTTCTTAGTATGGAAGTAAAAGTCAAGCAAGAGCTTTCAAAGCAACCATCTCCTCAAAAGGTCCTTATAAGACCATTGAAAAAAAAGCAAAGTATTTCAAATAAATTGTAGCAATTGGCTATATAAAAGAATGCAATGCTGAATCATTTTGTAAAGAGATGCTAGTGACACATTAGTGACTTTAAAAGTAAGTATGAAGTTTTTCAATCACGCCATCCTGAGGAGTAAAATGCAAACCACAGTGGCATCTACTTGAGTTGTGAACAACAGTATAATTCAGAAGGCATCAATTCAGCTGGTGTGAAGCATTTAAACTAGAGATAGAGCTGGAATCAACATTCAGTAGCGTGTTATGTCTAAAGGACTTTGCCTAAGAAATTACATAGAGTTGTTGATCTTGTCATTATCAAAACAGCAATACTTCATTCTCTACACTGTATGCATATAAGCTCTTTCCAACAGATTGATTTCACATGTAAGAATTTGTTGTGTATCTTTGTGTGTCTTAAGAACTAAGAAGTGACATACGGACTTCAAAAATAACATACTCAGCACATAGTGGAACTATTACTCTTTGAAGTGTTCTGGTTTAAGACACTAATGATTAATTTGCTGACTATAGTCATGGGTCTTACTAACTCCCTTCAGATCATTTCTAGCAATTTCTGGTTCCTAAGGATTTTTTTTTTCAGTTATATAGACTCTTCTTGTGAAACTTCTAAGCAAAAAATAAAAGGTTTGAGAATGAATTAAACTAATTGGTATTACTTGATGATATTTAGAGATTCATGGAGGAAATCATGTAGAAATCGCATCATCTCACTATGCTAGCAAGAAACTAGGGAAATAAAGTGACCGGTATCTCCAGGCCTAATCTGGAGGTTTTGGAAAAGCACAGTTTCAGAAATAAGATGAAAAACCATTTTGAATATGTAGCTACTACTATACTGTAGTAATAATTGGTTATAAACAGACTGTACCTATAGGTATGGAAAGACAAAATTATAGGAGAGTTCAAACACTGAATATGTGTTTACCTACCTCTTAGAAAATATAAGCCTTGATTGGAAAAACCAGCTGATGGATTTGTTATCAGGACTGGAAGGGACCAGCTCATGTTATACATGAGAAGCCCAGAGGCCAGAGAGATTGTGGTTTGCCAAAATTCAATCTTGTAGACACGAGAAAAAGGTATCAGAAACTGGTTACCTTTTCTAAGTCTTTGTTCTGGAGATTTTGAATCCATCTTAAGTATCTTAGCACTAATTCTTTCTAAGGCTGGGTAAATAAGGGCCAAATAAAAACTATGCCCAGGATTTCAACACATAATAGAGTGTAAAATGTGATTTTATAGCTGAAGGTGCTTTTCTGGAGAGCAATTAAAGAATCTAAGACTATGACCTAGTCTTACATGTTACCTCCCCCACTTCCCCCAGCCCCCTGTAGTAGAAAGGCATAATTTCCAGATGACAGTTTGGGTTTAGGTATTTTTATGTTGTTGTTTTATTTGCTTTGGGTCTCATATTTATTTATGATTCTGAAAGACTAAAACCAGCTAAATAATAATAAATACTATTAATAAATATTTCTCGATCTCCTACTGTATGTCAGATGGTGACTGGGTTATTCATTTCATAGCTGAGAAAACTGATGTGGAAAGGGTGGATCACTTAACAAAGACTGCACAGTTAATGAGTGGTGAGGTCAGACCCAAGCAATCTGGTTATAGAATCTAGTACTAAGCCATTGGACCCATAATTCTCACATCCAGTAGTTAGTATTCATTTTTCATGTTGTATCATTAGCATTAGCAAGAGAGGACCAAACCTTAGGAGTTAAAAATATAAGCACCTCTATCATGAAATTAAAAAAAAATGTTAGTGGGAACAGGTGCCTGAGATGTGCAACTCAGTCTTCCTTGATATTAGTATTCAGTGTAGCATGCTCTGACTCGCCGTGTGTCACTGGGTTGTGGTATGAGGGAAGTCAGATCCTGTTTTAAAGAGGTAAAATTCTATGGTTGCTAGTTGGGCAATAAAATAATAAGGATGAAGCTTTAGACTACACCCCTTGATGAAACTTGGTCATGATGAGAAAGATATTTATAATCCCAGGGCCACATTCTGCACCCAGAATAACTTGGCAGGTCTGTAGGACTCCATAAACCACATGGAAAAATACAGTCAGTGACTCAAAGGACTCCGCTGTCCTGTCTTGGCTGCCGGGCACCTGGAGAAGTCTGACTTTGGGATGATTGAGGAAGCTGCTGTAGTCCCAGTGCCGTGTGAGCCTGTGCAGACTTACGCTTGGTATCATCTGCCTTCTTTCACTCTCTTCTGTGTTGCAACAAACAGCTCTTGCAAATGGTAAATCCCCAGGGAAAACCTCCCAAGCCTGGTAGGGAGGCTTCTTGTTCACACAGGGAGAAAAGGGCTGTGGCACGAACTTTGAAGTCAGTCCAATCTCTCGCAATCTCTACATGTGGGAACTTGTCAAGAGACAGACTTCAGAGAGCAGACTCCATGCTTAGGAGCAAAGGCAAACAAACAAACAAAAATTCTTTAAAGTTCACTTAGACAAAGCCCATCTGTAATATACCAAATACTTGTCTCCTTTCGATGCATGTAGACCCATGAAAGATCAGGCAAGTGGGTGACTGCAAGATTTTTTCCAAGAACAGTAAAATCCTGCCATACTAAGAAAAGTCGATGCCAAAGAAATTCCATCCTTCCCAACAAGGCATCACACTTTTTGTGACTTAAATAAAAATATAATTGTTTTTCAAGTGGTTGAAAATATTGCTAAAAGCATAATGGAAATTATGTTGCATAAATATGACTGTATACCAAATTACACCTCAAATATTTTTTAAAGCTGTCACTTCCTTAACACCCCTGTTCCCTCAGAGAATCACAAATTCGTCTACCTCATGTTAGATGATCAGAGCTGGCAGCAGCCAGGGTCAACTGAATGACATCAAGGTCTGTGTTATCATAGGGTTACACTGAGCTCTGTTCATCCAGATGTGACTTAATAGTTTTGATGAATACAAGCTCAGCCAACAATCTGAGCATGTCTTCTGACCACCAAAGCATATCTTATGTCTTTAGGGACCCATGAAAATAGTAACAGAGGTGATGAACATTTATTGGACACTTCAGTATGTGGTGGACATTATGCTGATTCTTCTGCATTTATGATCTCAGTTAACATATCATCTGTTTTAGAGATTTTGAAGGTTAAAAAAAATGAAAGCACAGGTTAAGTAGTTACCAATGCCTGGATTTTAGTCAGTTTTCTCCTGCGTATGGGTGTATTTATCCAGCTTGCTGGTGTTAATAATCATGACCCTGAGGCTTGACTCAACTTTGCTTTCTTCCACCCACCATGTATTAGTACTGTTATAGATTGAAAAGTGACCTTAATTGATTTTTCAACCTATCAGCAAGTCTAGGAAACAATATTATAAGGAAGATTGAAACTATTGATCAGTTGCTGGTTTGTGGAATCCGTAGTTGTTTTAATTTTGAGGTCAGATTTAAGAAGCCATTGAGTCGACTTTTGCTGGCATCTCTCTGGTAAGAGTTACAGAAGGCAGGGAGATGAGGCATTTTCTGTTGACTTTTCCTGTGGTATAGAAAGGAGGGCAGACACCTGTGTGCAGGATGCCAAGATGTATCTGCTCTCCAACTTTCCCACAAGTCAATGGGAACCATCAAAGGACTCAGAGTTCATAACTTGGCTTACTATCTTGATTGGTTAAAAAAATATGGATTGAACTTGACTGTGAAAGTGAACTGTCTGTTTCTCTGACAGCAGGTCTAGGGAGAAAATGAGAAGAAAGATTGAAATTGCTGATCAATTGGTGGTTGTGGGATCCATGCCGACTGTTGTACTTAGGTTGAAAGGGTTTCTGTACAGGGACCATCAGGACTCAACACTAGTCATCATTTGTTGCGGATTGCCCCACCTGATTTCTCCATTCTCAGGAGTTCCAGCACCACCAGTCAGTCTCTCAACTTGAAATGCCAGAGTCATCTTTGACTTCTGTCTTTCCTCACTTCCCATAAGCAATAGCGCTCAAGTCAGAATCTGTCTTACGAAATATGTCCTGGAGTTACCTGTACCTTTCCATCTTTCCTGTTACCCTTTGACATCTAGATTCCATTGTTTCATGCTTGGATTGCTTCCTTATCTGAGAGGGACAGA